CTTGATGGTGAAATGACTTTGACGTTGACAACCCTCAAAGTGAAGAAAAAAAAATATGGTGTGAATGCATTCCTATTAGTATAGCTTTTCTATTTGCATTTGAGTATAGCAATGCCATACTATTAAAAGGCATACAACATTGATGTGTTTGTTTATGTCTCGGTGCTCAAAGTAACCTATCCAAGTGCTACCTTGAGAGAAACCCAAGTTTTAGCCTATACCTTGGGTGGTTTTAGAGCTTGTTGTTGGTTAGGTTGAGTAGCCCTTTCAATAAGCTTTCCATAGAACCCAAAGTCATCGAAAACAGACTCCGAAGCAAGAAGTTACAGCTTTTTCCTCGGGTGTTGTCAGGTGGCCAGAAGATTCCGGGAAAGAATCTACGGGTATCCAATAAGACTCACCAGAGGTTTCGGGCCTTGTCTAAGATACTTCAGGCCTATACAGTTTGGCTAGTTCCTAGGGTTCCAAGAGGCTCCGGGGAAGAACCTCCGTATACCCGAGAAGGCTTCCCGAGGTTCCGAGCTAGATCCCGAATACTTTGGACCTGTACAGACCTGATTCTAATGGTTAGTTTTTGGGCGTCCATGAGACTCTGGCCCTAGGTCTTGAAGACTTGGGGACTGTGCAGAGCTATGAGTAACGACTAGTTTTTGATATGCTCGGGTATTTAAACCCCTTCACCCCCTCCATCTACAGTTGCTGACTTTGGGAGAGATTAGATAATCTAAAACCAAAGAGCCACTCCTCAATATCTTACCTTTGTGGTATAACTCTTTGTGAGTGATATTAGAAAAGGGGATTTGAAAAGAGAAGGGAATTGGGGTTGAGAAGAGAAGTTGATAGCTAGTGAGCTTCACTCTAATCTTTGAGTACTTGTGTTCATAGTAAGCAAATCTTAATTAATTTATGCTAACGAGTTTTTTCGTTCCGTGTGCGCTGAAAATCTATCTCGTTTAAAATTGAGAGAACAAACACAACCTAAGGCTATTTATAAATAACATAGCATTAACTATTTTATCAAAACGAAATTGAGCCACATGTCATTTTTGAATGTGAAAACCGGAAGATAAACCTTCAGATTGGACAGTGGAATTGTACATACTTTGCAAAAGGGCCCCAAAGAAAAATGGCGCGGTAGCGAAGTTCACGCCAGCGGCCGCGAGGCCGCACAAGTTGACGGCGCCGGCGCGGGGTGGCCACATGGCTGGTGGCCGTGCTCTGAACCGCATGCTGTGCCTCCTCGGCGTTTGCGTCATCAACAGGTTTGTGTCTCGTTCCCTTCACCTCCCCCACCCCAAATCCGTTGTTCCTCTTGCTCTAGGGTCCCGTTTTGTGTTGCTTAAGTTCTTTTTCAATAATGGAAGCTTTATTAAGACTCAGTCAAATACATTAAGATGATACATTTCAGCTCATCTCCGGTCTCTGTATAAAATACACACAGCCCCACACAAAAAAGAACCTATCTTGACCTCCATCACGAGACCGAGATATTTGTGGCTATCAATCCACAGACTAGATCACCACCCATACTTCTGGGTAAAAAAACTCCCGTGCCACCTGGTCCAAATGTCACGGTACCATCGCAATAGTATCTCGAGACCCGGTTTGTGGAAGATAATCCAAGTGTGAAGCCACTGGGTGACTAAAGTAATAACCTACAAAGGAGAAGACACTAACTTGTTAAAAAAAAACCCTATTTATTGCTTCTTAGGATCTACCTGCCCCAATATTTTTTTCTCGCCACAAATTGAGACAATGCATGTCGGTTTCGAGGCCGGAAATGGTGATGTTTAGCTCTGTTTTGTAGATATATTGGGCGGTTTGGTTCTTGAGCTTCCCGATTGCCAAACCAAGGTAACCAATCATGTTGTGTTCATTATTTTATCTTAATTGTAGTGTTAATGTGGATGCAGTACAACACCATATGGTCGAATTTTCCAGGTAAATTCGGATGATCCGGTGGCTATTATGATTGTAGAAGCTTCTGACGTCACAAAACTCGGGAAGTCATCATGTAACGTCGAAAGCTTATGCATTCATGAGTATTTATAATTGAAGTTTAGGTTTTCTTATACTACTTAAAAAGAGGGTTTAAGCACGAAAAATCCACAAGACATGTGTCACGCCCTGAAGTTTCCCCTTTTTCATGCTTTAAAAATTTGTTAAATAAATTGCCCGAAGAAATTGTTTAATTAACCTAGAGCTAATCCCTAATTAATAAATGCAATTAATAATCGGCAATGGCGTGGTGGAATTTTTCCTGAGTTCCCCATGCCCTAATGCATTAACAAGATTTTTAGTGGAATTTTCAGAGCCTTGAAAATAATTTTAACCAATTAAAAATGAGCAAGTGCAATATTTAATCCCAGAAAAAATCCAATCCTTTTTCCTTTTTCTTTTTCCTCCCCTTTTTTCTTCTTGGGCCGTCGGCCCACTCCCTCCCGCGCTCGGCCTCCTCTTTGTTGGGCCGGCCCATGCGCCCCTCCCTCCTCTCTCTAGGATGCCGACAGGTGGGCCCCACCTGTCGGTCGTCTCCTACCTCCGGCCGTTGGAGCCGGAGCTCCAACCGCCCGCGCCGCCGCCTTCTCCGTTCCACCTCGTGCCCCCACTCCACCCTTGCCGCGCGCCCACGTCGCCGCCCCACTCCTCCACCTCTCCCGCTCTCGCGCGCGCGCTCGCTTGGAGGCGGGATTCGATTTGAATCCCATCCCCCTCTCTCCTTCCACTCCCCCACGTCGCCGGCACAATAGGGACCCTCCCCGGCCGTTTCCGCCCCTCCCGCGCCCATAAAACCACTCCCCCGAGCCTCCTCTCCCGTTTCCCTCACTCGCCGCACCCTCCCGTGCTTCCTACCGCCGCTAGCGCCGTCACCACGCCGTGCCTTCGCTGCCGCTAGCTTCACTGCCACAAGAGCCTTCTCGGCCACCGCTCGCTTGCCGCGCGTCGCCGCCGTACCGCTCTCCCCGCGCGTCGCCGCCTACTGCCGCCTCCGGCCACCGCTAGCCGCTGCTGAAGCCGCCGCCGTGCCGCTCCATCACCGCTGTCGGCCTTGCAAGGACGAGGGTCTCCTCGTCCACCCATCCACCTCACCGTCCGCCGCTCGCCGCCGTCATTCGCCGTCATCTCTCCCCACACCGGCCACTCCACAGTGAGGACACCCTCCTCCTCTTTTTCCTTTCCTCTCCCTCGTAGCGACGAGCTGCGTCGGTCGCCACCGCCTCCCACGCCGCCGCTTGCCGTCGCCGGCGATCGTGCGCTGCCGCCGCCCCACCATGGCCGGCCGGCCGGTTTTGAAGCCGTGCCTAGCCACCGCCGCGCCGTCCGATCAGCCTCGGGGCCGATCTGGACCGTCGGTGGACCACCCGCGTGGTCCCGGTCCACGGTGGACCGGCCGCCTTGTGCCGCTGACATGTGGGGCCCGTCTGTTGGCGCTCCCCCCTCCTTTGCTGACATCAGCCCTAGGGCAATATTACGCAATAAAATTGATTAAGGATTTTTCTTTATTAGTAAAAACATAGTTTATCTTCTAAAATTCATAAGTAATTCATCCGAGCTCCGTTTAAGTCCATTCAACTCTCAGTAAATTCATAAAAATCCTTAGAATCCACTAAAAATGCTTTTGTTTCCTGTTTCAGTAGTCTTATCGCATGTTTTGCTTGTGTGTTTTGTTTGTCGCGTAGATTTTGGCCGTTTCGTCGATCCGCGGGTTCTCGAAGACGTTGCTGAGGTCTCATCAGTGCGAGAGCAAGGCAAGTCATGCATTACATTTGATCATATTGTACCCAATTTACAAATATCCCGCATTTCTATTAAATGTTGCATTCTTTTACAATGTCACGTGGGATGGGTTCTATTACTCAGCCATATATTGTTTACCTTATGCCATTGATAACTTGGGTATCAAAATGATTAGATATTGGTTTAGGAAATGCTTTGCCGTGCTTAGTTCAACTAGTACACAAATGGGGATCATATTATTGCATAGACTTTGACTATTAGCATAGCTTTGGATTGGTGCCACCGCAATGGTGTTAGTTAATTAAAATACACTGAATGGTGGGCTGTGGGTGCATGGTTTTGCTGGTCGCACCCATGGCAGTTAAGGACCGGTTCACGGGAAACCCTGTGAGACTTACCGTGCTTGCCACAAGCGAGAGTGGGTAACTGCTTGACTTGTAGTATAGCTCGACCCTTTCCTAGGCACCGGTGGCGAGGGTGGGCGTGATGGAGTTGGGTCGGCCGGGGTGTCCGGTTGTCCAGCTGCCAGATTCACCGGGCGGCGCATGAGGGGGCTGCCCACTGCCTTTTGAGGGGTGGGGCTGCCCACCTTGACCGTGAACCAAACACACCCTTAAATGAGCTCAATCCCTAAACGGCAATGACGGTTATCTCAATCGAAGCCCAACCCGAGCCCAAGTATAGCTGTATCGACCATTTGCCATATCGGCTCAATCAAACTCTGACTTTGTTTCCAGCCGATGCACAGTTCGTTTTGGCAAGATTCAATTTCCTTCGATTCCGCTTCGATATCCAACTCTATCTTGTCAAATTTCGCTATTAGCTCAGACGTAGCTACCATCATTTTGGGCTCTAATGTTTCAAATGACATTCCACAACTTGAACGGAGTGAAATGAATGAAACCCTGACGACGACGATATTTCTAAGATAAGTTGGTTTGTACGATGGTAGTTCCTAGATGTTGCAGTCGTCGATGGATCATGAAACAAGGTGCATGTTGAGAGATTTGATAATTTAACACCTTAAAATGAGCTTTGATTATTTGATAACTTGACCAACTTTTATTCACTCAGATGGTCCCATATATTATCCTCACAAGTGTCAATTAAACACAATTGAGAAAAAAAAGTTAAATTATCAAATTTCTCGTGCATATGTCACTCGTATTTGTTGGACTTTTTCTTGAAATAGTTTGGGCTGGCCCAACTATCCCTTAACAAACGAGCCCAGCCAATAGGTGGGCCCAGCCCAGCCCAAACGATCCTAGCCAGTCCCGTCCCCCATTCCCTTCCCAAATCGCTTCACCGAAACCCGCCGCCGCCACCGCCACCGCCACCGCCCACCTCCGCCGCCGCCAACCCGCCGCCCACGCGGGCCTTCCTCGCCGGCGCCGCCGCCTCCGCCGACGTGCGCTGCGGCCCACCTTTGCTTCTTCGTTGACTTTCTTGCCGTCTCGCCGCCGCCGCCGCCATGGCCGACCTCGCCGACGAGGATCCGCCCGTCCTCCTCGACCGCGCCTCTCGTGCCACCCGTGGGAAGAGGTGCGCGCTTCCCTCCCCCTCATCCTCTATGGCTCGCTCTATCCCTTTGGCTGCAATACCTAGTTCGCCCGCCGCTCAATTCAATTCTGTCATCGTTTCCTAGGATAACCAAGCTCCTCGAAGATGAGGTTGAGCAGGACGAGGTCTTCTGGAATCAGGACGCCCTCAAGGAGGTTCTCTTCTCACTCTCTTCCTTCCCGCATTCTGCTGCTTTTCTTCTTATCATTTCTTGATTTCTTTTAGCGGGTCTTGGATCTTGTTTTAGTGTGCTCGGGACAGATAATTAGAATAGCTTCCGTTGTTGTTGAGTTCGCCATTTAGTTAATTAATTGTGCGACTTGCGTCAATGCTGTTGGTTGCTGCAATTGCTTGGTTAAGCAGGATGACAAATACTATTCTTCATTGTTTGCTCATATTTATTACCAGGATGAAGAAGATGACAACTACGAGGAAGAGCAGGATGCTGGTGATGAATTCGACAGTGATTTTGGTGAAGATGTGAGTGAGATCCCTCTTCATGCTGCTCCTAATCATTTTAGCTTTCACCGGTGTGCTGCTCTTCTGCTTCTACTTACTAAGCACTGCACATAGTTGTTTGATGTAACTCCTTTGGATTCATCCAGGAGTCGGAACCTGATGATGAACCGGAAAAGGAAGTACGTGAGAGGTAGGTACATGTGTTTGTTGAGAGCAAGTCACAATATGGTGTATATTAGTTCTACACTCATGTCACAACTCAATCATGAAGCAGATTACCTATCAAAAAGCGACTCATATTCCCTGGGAAGACTATGAAAAAAATCAATGCCAAGAAGAAGAAGAAGGTGGTCCCAAAGCTGGAAGATGATTCCAAAACTGACAAGTATTCAGATCAGCAAAGTCCATCTAAGCAAACAGACATTCCTGATGAACTGGAGACCGGTGAAAAGACCATCAGGAAATCAACTAGAACATCTGTCATCGTCAGACAAGCTGAGAGGGAGGCAATACGTGCTGAGAAAGAAGCAACGATGAAGGTTGTATGCCCACATTGAGTCCTTAGCTTCTTTGTATCAAATTTTGTTGTTAGTGCATTGTGGCTGCCCATGGGCCAGGCAAAAGAATATTGTGTTACTCATATATTAGTTTTTCAATCCATGGCATTTTTCCATTTTGAGGGTTTAATTTGCTCACTTTTCATCTTGTAAATGGCTTCAGCCTGTTATTAAGAAGAAAAAGGAGGGAGAAGAAAAGCGTATGACACAAGAAGAGATGCTGTTGGAAGCAGCTGAAACAGGTATGTTTTTTGTTTTTATAAACCTTTTCCAGTTTTCACAAGAAGAGATGATGCAGGCCTTGAATGAAATGCGATCGCCTAGTTTGCTACCTGACGATTTGGGAGTATGAGTTTGTCTTGTTGAGAGAGTGCTGTCTTTTAGGTCTGGTTTTGTTGAATTTGGGTGGGTCCTTTTTCTGGCTATCGTGATGTATGGACCTGCTTCCTGTTAGCTGGAATTCCGAGCAGTTCTGTCTTTAGTTTGTTAGTTTGCTGTTTGTCAAAAAAGACTTTGTAAAAGACTATGTTTCTTTTGGCTTTTCTTCCAAAAGCTGTGTAGTAATTTGCCTGATCTCTAAAAGTTGCAGACCTGTAACGAGCCAGCTTTAATTGTTGCCATTAATACGTTGGGGCATTTTTTGTATATTTTTCCAGAGATCATCAACCTGAGAAATCTTGAACGTGTATTGGCAAGAGAGGAGGAGGTTAAGAAAAAAGCCGTTGTTCATAAAGCTGTTTATGAGGGTCCTACGATTCGGTTTTGCTCAAGAGATGGTAACTTCTCTATTAAAATATCATCAAGCATCTGTTTGCATCTGGAATGTGGAATTACTAGCTTCTTTTTTCTACATTATGAATTATGATAACCAATACCTTAGGTGTTCTCAATAGCTTATTATCAGTTCTGTGCTGAATTAGGGGAGTCACGCTTGGAATTCATCAACGGGGCATCATTTGGGTCAGAACTTTGTACAACCTCAGCTCCTTGTAAGTGCAAACTTTCATTTGGTTATTCTTTGTTATTTGCCTCTGCCAGTAATCACTAAATGTGAGCATCCGTGACAGATTGAGCTCATACTACTTATATGCCCTCCTCTTCTCATGATAATATTCTTCATTACAGATCCAGAGAAATCTATTTGTGCTGTAACTGGACTTCCTGCCAAGTATGTTCTCTGAGCGCACATTTGAAGTGACCTATATTGGCCTTTGATGTTCCTTTTCTGAAGCCGAAACTGTTGCTGTGTTTATTGCATTGATCTAAATAAAATTGTGCACACGTGCACCTTTTGTTTAACATCTCCACATTATTAGCAGAGTGTTTATCCTTAGACATTGCATTGCTTGAAATGCTGTTTGCCACATCCTTGTTATTGTTTGCCATCTAGTTCTGGTGAAATAGCTACATTATTTTGACTTGGCAATTTGAAATGATCCCACAGAAGCCGATTTGTTATTATTTTCTAGCCACTGTAAGACCACCTGTAGGATGTGCATTGTGTTAATATGGTCCTGCTGAAGAGATTTGGAACGTAGTTTTATTTCTTTTTCAAAGTAGTACATTTGAATTCTGATCTGATTGTACTGTTATTTTTGGATGATTTATTTTACGAGCAGATAAGCTTATTTTAGGTTTACAATCTTGCAGATACCGTGACCCAAAGACGGGGTTGCCATATGCAACAAAGGAAGCATTTAAAATCATCCGAGAAAGGTACTCTTTCTAGCTTTGTTGTTATTAGAATCATATGTTTTTTTTGGCGACTAACTGCTTGAATGACTTGAAATTTTCTTATGTAAAATGCACTTAATATGTGAACATCCTAACATATTGTCCATCGATGCTTGGCAATCAGTTTCCTGAAAGAGGAGGCTGACAGGAAGAGGCCCAACTTGGCGAATATGGGAGAGCTCTTTGAATCAATAACAGGAGAATACTCCACACCCAAGAAGAGAAGAATTGAGGCAAGATCACCCAGCATCTCATCAGACCAAAGGCATGGAGGACGCTTTCGACGAATACCTGCTCTTGATTTGCTGGACGAGGACTGACCGGAGATCTCTTCAGGCTAGTAGATATATTGTAGCGACGCAGTATGATGTTGATCCAGTATTCAGATGTCATGTAGCAAACTGTTTAGTTTTACCAGTTAAAATCGTTGATGTTTTAACTGCAAATATTGAGCAAACACGAGACGGCGGTATGGGTTTGTCTGGCCATGTTATTTTACATCTCAGAAGAAGGGGGACACCCAGCAAATTGCATGATAAATTTGCTACAAATCAAACATCTTGCAAATAGCAGCATACTATTATTACTTCTAATAATGCGGAAACACATGAAAACATGCACTTTTGCCTTGAGCGTATTCGTAAAGACATTGTTTTCCACTGGGAAAGTAGAGATGCCGGATTGCAGCAGAAATGCCATCTTTTCTTGATAATAACTTGGTCTTGGTACATATGAGCAGAAATGCCCATCAGTATAGTCCTATAGGATATGGTGGTTTGGTTGCTGAACTCAGTGGCCAATTCTCTGCCAAATCATATTTACCAAGCATTGCTGGTGGATAATTCATGTATAAAAAACACACAAATCTTGTTCCACTCATATTTTGTTCAAGGTCTGCAGTTTCTGAAATAGGATTGCTTCACCATTTAAGTCTTATTTTCACCTTACACTGTATAAAAGGGGCAGAAACCAAAAAACAGCATTATTACAGTACTAGCTTTTACAACATGAAACAGACAACATTTATTCAAGGCTGCACAATACTTTCTGGTCCAACATGAGCAGCTTTACTCGACACTGAGCAACAACTCTCTCCCTCTCTTGGTACTGCATGGAGTAAACTAGTAAATCTAATGTAGAGAAAACAAAAGGACTCGTGAAAGTTCATAGATGCTATCTGCTCAAAACAAAAGGAGAGCAAGATTAGACAGCCTGAAACTCCATCTCTCCTATATATCAAACTAGGCCTTGATCTTCAAATACCCTACTTTCACCATTGGGGCGAGGAGGACCTCCTTGTTAGTGCAGTGCACCGAGGTGCCACCAAATTCCTTGTCGTAGCTTGTTCTGCGAGGAGGAGCCCTTGGTGATTCCATGGCCTCTCTGTCATCCTCCGTGATGGTGTCAAGCATTGTCAGGAGCCTAGCACGCCTGATGATCGATGACAACTTCGATGGCGCAACCTCCGTTGTGATTTGGCTAATGAATTGAGCCATATTCTATAATCTATGGTTGTAACTTTAAAACTTTCTAGGCTGGATTTGGACACAAAAAGCAAGGAAGACAGCGAAAACAAACTCAGGGGCAATTGAGTTTTGCTCAATGTGGCTTGTCTTGGCTCCCATGAGATCTCTGGGGGTGGCTTTATATAGCTTATTCTCTCTGATTTTTTTTGGAGCTGCAAATTGATATAGTCATGTCTAGAAATGACAATTAATTGTCTGGAAGTAGTCTTTGGGGAGAAAATGAATGAGTTGATAGTGAAGACTGGAAGCAAATGGTCATCTGGGTAGAATTCAATAGTTATGTAATTATGTCACTCGTACTTGTTCTGGCCACGCATACTGGTTTTGCCGACTGAAGTATTCCAACCATTCAAGTGTACGTGCAAGAAAAATGTGTCATTATACTTTCCAATGTTCCTGTCAACCAATATTAATTGAAAGAAGAATACTCATGGAAAGTACCTTGCATTTCTGTTCTAAACAAAACCACTCAGGTTCTAAAAGTAAAGAGCTTATGCATTTTAGTTTGTGAAGCCTAGTCTGCCTAGAGATATTTGCTCTTAGTTTCAACTGGAGTCCTTTGTCAAAATAATATTACACAAGCCGATAATTTTATGCCCCTGTCTGCATTTTTTTAAAAAAAATCATGTCCCCTTACCCCTTTGAAAACTTCTCTAAAAGCAATATGTAAAAAAAAGAGATGTTATTTTTGCATTATTAATGATGACTCAATTTTTTTTTTGTTGATGTGAAAAAGGAGATCATTACTTTGGAGGAGGGATGCATGGTATATCATCAGAAACAGTTCAATATGAAAACTACCAGTAAACAAAAGAGACATTTCTTCAATAAAAGTATAGATCTGAGCACTAGCATTCTAGCAACATGACAACAAATTTGTACAAAAACAGCCCATACTGACTATGTCTGCAGCAACTTAGATTTTTTTTCTTTTGTTTTTCCGTACAACATAAAGTACAGCTCTGTTTTTGTTTTGTTTCCACAAACTAGAAACTATAAAAAAAAACAAGCATGCCATTGTCCCATATGTGAGGGCAAATGTTTCACTTCTTTTGCATCCTTTTCCATATCAATTTAGTTATGTATAATTTTTAATGCAGTAGAGGAATGAACGGAACCGTACCTTGCTTTGTAGGGCAGACATAGTGTCCTCATGGTGAGGGCAGTCACATGGCAACAAAAGATGTTTTCTTCACATTTTGGTAATGAATGACCTGACAAAGACATGGTGAAGAGGTGTGATGTTGTATATCCCCTTAATAGCTTAGCTAACCAAGAAAACACAAATGAGTTTTTTTTATCCATTGGTGCCAATGGCTGTGCCGCAATCCGCTTTTGTCATCATACCTCAATCCTCAGAAGATGGGTCATATTTTGCTGTGGTTCTGGAGTTGCACTTGCACAATACAGTGACTAGATTACTATTACTGGCTCAAGTAACCTTCATGACAAGTTAATGTGCATAAGTTGCACTTTGATATAAGTTACTCTTTGTGCGTTTTGTTTCTAATTCAACGAAAAAGCTTTTACATCAAATAATTATGAGTATATATCCATATGAGCCAAACATGATTCATATCTGATTGAACTGGCAACTAAACTAGACTTATAACCAGTTCAAACTAGATTATCCCTAAATTGAATGCTGCTGCCACAAACATCTCCAGGAAAAAAAATTGTGATTAAGGTGAAACAATATTTCTTTACCACTTGAAATCTTTAAGGCATATGATGACAGCAGCTTGACAAGCAACTTCTAAAGCCATCTGCTTATTGTTATGTTGATACAACTTTTGATGTAAGCTAAGTACCTTAAGGACAGTGCCTGTCAGAATTCAGGTTGGAGAAATTTCATCATTTTCGTCACACTGCATAATCATGCTCTGCAAAGATTCTGAACACATGCTTAAACAATGTTTAACAATCCAAGAGAATCTCATAAAAAACAAGAATATTGATCATGCGACAGGCAAAAAGAAAGCACTTCTGCCATGTTAATCATGTTTTAGGTATTAGGCCAAAAAAGATAACACTTATGTATATGTTTATTAATCATGTTATATGCATTATATAAAAAAGAGAACTGAAAGCAACCTATGATTTTGTATCAACAATCTGTACAATAAAAACAGCATTTCATTATGCACAACGTTAAGCTTTCCGTACAATACATGTTTCAAGTGAAACATTCTAGTCACTTTCAGGGTCAGGGATGAACCCCTTCTTCTGTGTGTATTTCTCGTCCTTGGGAATAGCTAAGAGGTAAACGAATCTCATATTAATTCACAATACTAGTATATACCTCCAACTATAACTTTATCTAATGTCGCAAGAACTGTCAATACAATTTTTTGTTCCTCAGCAAGAGACCTATCATTCTCTTCGCCGGCTTCTGTGATAGTGGCAGGAGCGATGATGCTTAGATTTTTTTCTTTTCATGTTTCTTCCTTCTCTCTTCCTTATCTTTTTTCTCTGAATTGCTCTCCTTTTTCTTTCTTTTTTTCATGTGTTTCCCAGAGATGGATGGTTCGCCATCCATTGTTTCCCTATGCCAATAATCATCTGTGGATTGGAATCTCAAAGACAGTGGCCTCTCTGGGCCTTGTACTTGGAGTTCCCATTTTTCTTCCACCCTTATATCAAGACTAGGTACGTTGTCTTGACTACGTGATGAAGCATTAAGATATGGACCGGTCTCATCCATCCTAGAACCAACGGCCCCTCGTCCTCTCTTCACCCTAGCATAGCACACAATTAAATTGTTTGTCAACAAATCTTAAAGATTGGTACGGGAATCATATGCAGGATATTTGATTCTAAGAAAACAGAGACATGGAAACAATTATTTGATGCTATGACTATCAAAAGATAGATAAATGGGCTTATTAGTTTTATAATTGACCAGGGCATGAGAAAACAACTCTATAGTTCCTTCAAGAAAAAATGGACGCTACTAACCTCGAATGAAGGAACATCTCTATTTCATCATCCCCTAGAGCACCCTCCAGGTCCAAGTAAGAACTATTATAAGAAGTGCTATCTTGTTCCATCCTTGGACTTGAGCTCTGGTTTCTTACATCACTCCTGCGTTTTTTACCTCTAGAGTCACCACGATTAATAGATCTTCTTTTTGTCTTAGACTCCAATTCAAGTTCCTTCTCCCTTGCTCGCCACATTTTATTGACCTCTACAACTCGGTTTGCTGCAGGTGAATAACACATTTTATTCAACAGCACACCAGAACAACACTTGATTTGTTTTTACAAGAGAACGGGTAATGTGATATTGGCTATGCTTATGAGCTAGCTATTACTCTAATGTTTATCTGGCTGATCATTCCTAGACAGAGGAAGCAATTTTACACAGATGGCTTTTACAATGTTGTTTAGCAAATTCTGGTTCTTCAGTTCCCCTTAATGTATGAATTTCATGACACGAAAGACATAATCATGGTAAAAAGCCCAATACAAAAGATTTTAGTATTTTGCAAATCTAATGATGAACAACAGATTCAAGAGAACCAGAAGTTGTGCTGCATTGAACAGTATCCAGCACCAGGAGTATGTGATAGTGAGAAAAAAAAGAACATTTTTCTAACCTTGTTGAACTCCACGAACTGTGGCTGTGAGGAACCGTGAATTCAGGCGATGCCTTACATTGGGCTTTCGCAGATACGCGTGAACACCTTCCCTGTCAGCCTCTAACTGCAATCTCCGTGCCTCTTCAAGGAGTAAAGAAGCAAGATGATTCTCCGTCTCCAGATCCATTGTCTAACTCAACTCCAGCAACTGTGAACACAACCAATCAAAGTTCAGATGAAAGTTCTCTTGATCATACAAACACAACCAATATTTTTAATGTCTCTACGAAGGAGCCAAATAGACCGTGAATCAAATTGCAGATGCAGATTGCAGTAGGCCGCGACCATGAACCTATATTAGTCGACCCTGTCCGTATGTCACCAGATATAACGAATTTCGCTAAAGAAATTAAAAAAAGAAGCTGCTAACTGACTAACTGAGACAAACATGAAGAACAGCAAGACACTCTCCAATATGTAAAGCATTGTTAATTTGCAGATTGGCGCTGACAAAAATAGCAGATATATACCATTTGTTCTGCCTTGATTTTGTTTGAATGGTGAATTAATCCAGAGGTAGCGTACGTGAGCGCATAGTATTAATTTCACCACGAGAACAATCGGACCTAATCTCTCCTATGACCCACCAATTTAGAACGGCGGAATCCCCCCTCATAAATAAATAAATAAATACTCTAGAAATCGCATATAGAAAGAGCAATTTAGGGGTTTGTTCTTTGTTCATCGTACGTACCTCACCGAAGACAGCGCGGGAGCGAGAGCGAGCTCAGGACGGGGTGGGTGTAGACCACCAGAGGGATCTCATCTCCCGATCCAGCGACGCCGCCTAGGGTTCGCGGCTGCGGCTGCGGCTGATCGAGTGGGCGATGGAATGCGAGACGGGGGAGAAATGGGTGGGAGAGGCGATCATTTTTTTTTCTTTTATTTTTGGTCGCCTTGCGTTGCGGCTAGTTTTATTATGGCTGACGTGGCTATAGCACCACTTATGATTTGATACTCTTCTTTTACATGAGGATTCTTATTTAATTTAGAGCAAGTTTGATAAAAATAGCCAACTACTAGCTCCAATTCATCTATAGTCAATCTAATAGTTTATTCATACAATAGTTACTTATAAACATATGCTACACTACGTGCTACATATGGCTATAAAAATGTAGCCCGCTTTCCTTCTCTCTTTCATGTGTGCTTATAGCTGACTTGTATTGTACTCGCTTTTATATAGACAGATAATCCTTTTCCTAAATAGAACTAGGGGTTCCAAGTAGGTTACGAGCAAATAAGACCTAGTACTATACATTCGATATCTTTCTTTGCCATGAAAGAAATTTGTCTTATCTCGAGAATTAACCAAACTTAGGTATACCCTTCCATATAAGAAGTACACGGTATTCTCGGCGGGCATGTATATAGGAAGAACAATATTGTAACACTGACAAAATGAAAGTTTTAATTGGACATAGCTTACATGCAAACCAAGGTTAGATACTATTGCATTAGGGGAGAAAAAAAATGCATTCAACGGTTGAATCCAATTTAAATGAAAATATAATTAGGAGATGTAGGAAAAAATAAGAAAAATAAGAGAATATTTATAGTTGATCCTACTTATAATCATGTGCATGGATATTATACATTAGGTTTATATGTCAAACTGAACCAAACTGAAATGGTTTATATTGTGGATCCTAGCTGGTTCGATGCACCCTGGAGGTGCTCAAAACTACGAGGAATTTAAAACCAAACTAGCTTCTAAACAGGGCCTATGTATCCATCATCTAAACGCCGCGGATGCTGAATTCCTCAATACAAGACCTTTTCATGTTTTAAACTAAGAAAAAGAAAAGGAAACGAGTCAAAAACAAAAGCATTTGATCACCAGGCACAACACAAGCATCGCTCTCATCGCCACCCATCGTGCCAGGTCTCAGCTGGCGCTCAATAGTCAAAACACACGCTCGACAGCATGACCGCCGACCAAAACTGCAGCAGCAGCACACAACAGAAGCATTCCATTCTAATTGTCACATCAGTGGCTGGAGCCTGGGAATGCAAGTAGGGATGTATGCGGGCAACCCGTGAACCTCTTTAAAGGTCAAATTAGTTAGTAACTCGTGGGTTGGCTCGCGGGTTACCTACCAATTTGATCTATAAATGGGTTTATGGGTTGATCCAGTTGTAAGCCGAGCCATGGTGTGAAAACCCGTGGATAGCTCTTTATTTAACATATAAATAGGTTTATGGGTCGGTCCACTTGCATCCTAGATGCAAGGTTTTGATATGCGAACAGTGAGATGATTGGATGATGGATGTAAGATGCTGGGTGCATAATGCTGCAATGCCTACTGTTGTCAAGCAGATTGGCAAGATCTTGCAGGAGGATTCAGCAGCTGATGATGTGAAGATGAGAGATGAAATTTCCCATGAATTACATGAAGGGTTCCTTTTTTTTTTGGTTTTCGGGTTTGTGGAAAAAATATTCAGGATAGAGAACATGAGGAGCAACATGGAAGTACGGAACGATGCTACTAATATGTAAACCGGAGTGAACAGAGAATAAAATGGGTGAAACATCACCAGAGGAAGAAGAAAATTTAGAGGCTGTAATGTAGTAGTTTGGCTTAGGGATGAATACCATCAATCTGTGAAATTAACCCACTAAATTGCAGCCATTAATTCATGTAACATACTATGACAAGGGAAAAAAAACAGGGGGATATGCGAATTAATCATTTTAATACATGTTGGGTGCTGATTCACATTAGCATATGCATCTTAGCAGTTCATTTCCAATTGACAAGGAAAATCTGCAAAGAACTCCAGATTGGATGGCAGAAAATTCCAGCTTTCATCATGGAATTCCATCTTCACCATAAATCTTATCCGTACATAGTAATCAGGGAGTAACTCTTGCAATAATACGCATCAATTTCAAGAATCGTAACCATTGCAGCAGAATATCTCAATTCAGCATATGAAAATTCAGAAACAGCACAGTGAGTATATACAAGTCATGAAGGCTGGTGGAACCAACAAGAGATACAGGTCAATTTCAATGACATGAAGGGTTGTCAATGCTCAGTACATAATACTTCATTGACTTAAACTGGGAAATGAGTCAATAATTAGTTTAATTACTCCCTCTGTTTCATAATGTAAGTCATTCTAGCATTTCCCACATTCATATTAATGTTAATGAATCTAGACATATATGTGTGCCTAGATTCATTAACATCTATATAAATGTGGGCAATGCTAGAATGACTTACATTGTGAAACGAAGGAAGTACTAGTTTCTTTGTGCCCAATTTTATGTAATCGACATTTGGAGTCCAATAACAGAACACTGGAAACACTCACCTGAACTTCCCCAAAAAGGGAAAAAAATCACTCATATATAATCTTCAAAGGACAAGCGGTACTCATGGTAAAAAAGTTCGACAATGTTCAAGAAGGTAAAATCCAAATTTCTTTTTATATGACAAAGATGCATAACAACCAAAATTGGCAAATTGTGTGGAAATTTCATCATGTGGTCAAATAACATGCAAACCTTGTGATCAGAATATACCTATGTACATCAGCACCAAGCCAGAGATGAAAGAGGAGTCTTAGAAGCCAGAACATGAGTAGAAATGCCCATGTTCTCTTAATAACAACTGAACAATTTGACCAAGATAGTTGTCCGCACAACTGTTTTCAATCTGTGCTCAGCATGAACCATTGCCAGTGATCATTCCATGTAAAAAAAGCATAATATTGTTCATCCATAAAAAAGAAAGGTGAAGAGCAACTTTTAGCTGGTACCGTTAAACAACAACGGCTCCCAATCTGTATAAAAAAAATAGATGTAACTCCCGAAATCAACAAACTTATTAACTTTCACCACATCAAAGAGACCATTTATTCGATACCATGGTACGTTCTGCTCAAACACGAGCAGGTCTAATTGGCACCAAACAACTCTTGTTTGGCACTGCACAGAGTAAACTAGTAAAAAACACTAACGTTGCGAAAACGAAAAGACTCAAGAAATATCACGGATGCACAATCTGCTCAAACAAAAAAAAGAGAGCAAGACTAGACCGCCCGAAACTCCATGTTTCCTACCAAACTAGGCTTTAATCTTCAGGCACCCTGCCTTCATCATCGAGGCAAGGAATACCCCCTTTTTGGTGCAGTGCATTGAGGTGTCGACAACCTCCTTGGCATAGCTTGTGCTGCGAGGAGGAGCCCTTGGTGATTCCATGGCCTCCCTGTCATCCTCCATGATCGTGTCGAGTCTCCTCGGGAGCCTGGTGCGCCTGATGATCGATGACAGCTTCGGTGGCGCAACCTCCATTGTGATTCGGGCAGCGAGTTGAGCCATTTCTATAGTAGCAATTTAAAACTTCCTAAGCTAAATTTGTATAAGAATATACAAAAGGAGGGAAGAAGAGTGTAGAATAGGGGAAAAAAGCTAGTTCAAGGGGGCATTTGGTTTCTGTTCAGTGTGGGCGTGTGGCTTGTGTTCTGGCTGCTCCCATGAGGTCTCCTGGGTGGGCTTTATATAGCCTATGCTCAGTTAATTATTCAAGTGTATTTTTCACATGGGTAATTCAAGTGGTCATGAATGGAGAAATTGGAATTACATTCCCTGAAAAGGAACTTTGTGAATAATAAATGAACTGACAATGAAGGCTAGAAACAAACAATACACCTCAATCAGAAGATGAACATGCTCACCAAGGGAGAAATTAAGACGTAATTTTGTAATTTGTACTGCTCTGGTCATGCATATTGATATGACCGGGTACTATTCTAACCATGCAAGTGTATGATCAAGAAAAAGATGAGCTGATGCCGCCTAACTCCCAATTTTTTCCTCTTGTTTTCATTCAACACATCAAACTATATTCATTAATCTATTTTTATTTTTAAAATCACCAGAATTACTGTAAGAATCATCACAATAATAAGCATGCGTGCATCATTCAGTATTTGAGTATCGCATATAGCCTACCACCTAAGAGCAGAGGAACCACAGCATCCAAAAATGCAAAACTGTAAATGGTAGGCTGCAAAATCCTTGTACCCGAAACAGAACCAAATATGCACTAGGTGTTAAACATTTTTTCTATCATTTTTAATATTATACAGAAATGCACCTAACTGTAGAATTGTTTGTAGGGTAAGTAGACAATGGAGTGGTCAGGTACCCTCATGGCAAGGGCAGCCGCATTGCGACAGAGGAGGTTGTTTTCTTCACCTTTTTGTAATGAATGAGCTGATAAAGACAGGTCACTGAGGTGTGGTGTCAGTTTGTCTCTTGTGAGTTTTGATCTATTGGTGCCAGAGGCTGCCATGTATATGCTTGTGTCCTGGTTTTGTTTTAGCTTTTGTACAGTTTAAGAAGATGCATGGTACAATGATTTCTAGTTAGGGTTAACAACTGCTGGCTTAGGGACTTGCAAGTTAGTTCAAGATAACAGACTTAAGTGGGCTGAGTGACCTACACATTATTTCAAGTTATGGACCCAAGTGAAACTTTTTGCTATATCTGCAATTTTCTCTAATTCAGTTGAAGAATGTGAGAATACAAGGAGGAACTATCAACTTACAATCAAGGACATGAATTCTTAAACATGAGCAAAATAAACTATAACATGAACTGTACAAATTAGTATCATCCCACATATCTTACCAACTGAGCTAAGCTCCATTCAGTTCCTTCTAAGTTAGTAACCAATAAGTCATCCTTTTCTATGGCCATAAATTGTATTTGCTGTGGGTCTGTTGATGTATTCCATATTTCCATCAACTAACCAATAAGCAAGATAAAGCTCATGCAATAAGGAATTAAAAAAAAATACAGTAACAAAGCGTAAAATATTATGCATTAGCATAAGAAAGAGAGAGAAAAACAAAACCATTTAACCTTGGCAACATGGTACAGTGATGGCAACTGATATGCCATTCAATGTGCCAGCTCTCGGCCGGTGAGAATCCTCACCGGCTCATGTGCTCAACACACGATCGACAGCAACCGGTGAGAATCCTCACCGGCTCAGGTGGTCAACACACGCTTGACAGCAAGACCGCCAGGCAAGCTGCAGCGGCACATAACAGCAAGTGTCCCCACATCGCTGCATATCTTTCCTACAGATTATGATTATCAGTCAGAGGAGAGGCAAGATTTTGATCCGCAAACAGTTGAGATGATCAGTGATGGGTAGGATCATGCCCCAACCAGGATCGAAGAGGAAGGGTGCATGCAGCATGTTGCTGTCAAGCATATTAGCAAGATCTTGCTGGAGATCAGAGGAGAATTCCTGGAAAATTCACTCAAAGCTGTCCTTTTCAGGTTTATGAAAAACCTGTTCAGGATAGTGAGCAAGAGGGAAAGAAAGTGGAACTACTGTTAGATTTTAAAACCAGAATGTTTATCCAGAATAAGCATGGAATCATCAGCAGAGAGGAAGAACAAAGATGTATTAAGCAACAATTTGAGTCCCAAAAAGGAAAAAAAAATTGAACTAGTTGTGCACGCAGAGTACTACTACCATTTTGTAATTTTAACCCAGGTGTTTTATCACTCTAGCTATTAATTTGTGCTACAGTATGACAAGAAGAACCAGAGAAATATGATATTAATCATTTTAGAACATGTTGGATGCCGAGCCACATTAACAAGTAAAATCTGGAAGGAGCTTCAGATTGGACGGCAGAAAGTTCCAATTGTGTCATCATAAAATTCAATCTTTAGATTTGATGTTCCCTTTTCACCACGACAACAGTAAATAGTGAATAGATATCACAATAGTAGACTTCAATTCTAAGAACAGTATTCCATTATTAACTGCAACAGTGTATCTCAATTTCAAGAAAAGTATATGGGAAATTCATAAAAGAGCAGAATGCGAAGATAAAAAAGGTCAGAATGGATACGGGTAGAACCAACAACAGCCACATGTCAAGTTGATCTAAAAAAGGACTAGTTTTTCATATACCTATAACAACAGTTAGTAGTCAGTGGCACTGGCAACATATCATCCTCGCAGCAAAGTGCCTTATTTGCTTATTTAACATTTAACTTGATAGGATCAAAATGCCTTATTTTCTTGTTGCCTTCTGTAGGCAGAAAGTGGCCCATGAGGTACAACACAAAATATCAAAAGTTATTTTAGGAAGTTGCTTTGACAGATAAATAGTAGCTGATTCCAATTTTAGCCTATCACAAGTAGAGATGAGCTAACATGAGTATTTAAAACCCAGTAAAAAAACATGAGTATTTAAGCTGCTAAAAATTAGTTGAAAGCAATAACTTTACATATATGTATGAACAAGCACCACGACATAATACATCCCTAACTACAGCAGTTTCAAGATGCTTGTCATAGCAAGTGTTGTAATACTACTTGCAAAGCAAGTGAAATTGATTGGACGAAGTCAATGCTTGTCATAGCATTGTATTGATGCAGTTGCTATCAACTGGAAAGCAAAACTTACCTGATAAATCTCTGCAATTACATTGCAGGTAACCACCATTTTGACCTTTTAGCCTCATTCCTTGAAACAGACAAGGCTAGACAGTAATATCATAAAAATAGCTATATTTGACATTTCACAAACAGCATGGATACCTTTGTATAGGAAATGCCATCACAAGTTTGGAATATAAAGATATACATTAATCAAAACATCAAGTGGCAAAATTTAGTTCTCGCTTATCTTTGAAAGAAACAAAATTTAACTCTTCATCGTAATCATCGTCATCATCATCATCATCATCGTCATTAACCTCCTCAAAATGACCTTTCCCAGCCTCGACTTTACCATTTCGATTACTTGTGGTGCATGCGCCATCTAACAAACTGTCATGCCCAGCATCATTTTGTCCATGTTTATACTCATTTCCAGTACCATTTATTTCTAAACCATATGTTGTTCCATCGGGTTTTGCTTCCAGCTGAATTGCACAATTCCCTGTCAATTCATTCGCTTCTTCTTGTTCTTCAGGAGTTTTGGCAAGAGAAAGAAGGATATTCTTTGCTTTCTTGTCTGCTGGGTACCCACGAGCCTCCATTTCTTTGAACCAGATGACAGCATTTCCAAAATCAGAGTTCCTTCCATGCACATCCATGATGGTAGTATAAATAGTCTGATTGGGTTCAACACCCTGCATCCGCATTCTCTCGTACACTCTCATTACTCTCTCAACATTATTTAATTTCGAGTAGCCCTTCATCAAAGTTCCATAAACAACAACATTTGGCTTCAAACCGTCCTCTTTAATCCGGCGGAAGAATTTCTCAGCCCCATCCATGTCAGAAGCATTCACATAAGCTAAGACCATTGTTGTGTAAGAACAGAGATCAGGCTCAACCCTGCAAAGCAAAAAATGTGTTAAGGTGAGAAACCTACAGTTCAATTAGTCTTGAAATTTAAGTCGACAGATAAAATTTGTACCTGTGTCTTCTCATGGCCTTGAAAACTGTATGAGCTTCTTCTACCAATCCAGATATTGCAAATGCATCAATCAAAATGTTATACGACTTGCGTGTTGGCCTGGAAAGTTAACATCAAATTGACCACCATTAGAATGTTTTGGAATATCTTTTACAGAAAAATACTGATCTCAAGCAGATATTCTTTGTCAAAAGTTGTTTTTTTTTTCTAAGTTGTGGATGTAACAGAGTATTGACTTGCTTTCATGGAAAAGAAAATACAAACTAGTTCCCTTTGGTTACAAAAATTTTGATGGCACATTGCTTGACATGAATTGCTAATGCATCACATAACATGTCATTGGTACATAGCAAAAAACTATTTAATGTGCTTACGAGTGGCATATTTTCACTTAACACAAAAAAGAATGAGAGAAATATGTTGCTAAAAGTATGATCAGATCAAAACACTGTTATCTGAAACTTCACATGGCTAACAGATGTCCTTAGAGCTCACAGCTTAAACATTAAGGCTTTAACCAATTTGGCCAAAAACTATGTTCATGATTACAGGGAGTCCAACAAAGGGATCAATGCTTAAATTGTATCAACCCAAGAAAATATTTAAAGGAGATTGAACCTGACTCCTGCATCAAGCATCTCTTCAAAAACTGCTAATGCTTCTTCTTCCCTTCTAGCTTTTCCATAAGCTTTGATGAGCAGGGAGTAGCTCACAACATCTGGTTTTAGCGCAGTTCTTTGCATCTAAAGTTATAGAATTCGTTAAAGGAACAAAAAATATAGATATACTTGATTGTGCACTTAAGCTGGGGATGTACCTGATCATAAATACTTGAAACTTCCTTGTAATTTGTTTCAAATGACATCAAACTATTAAAGGTGACTGTTGATAGAGGGATTCCTCTCTCTGACATCTGAGCAAATAGTTTCCGAGCCTGGGCATAGTCGCCAGCTTTCTTGTACATATAAATCATCATATGAAACATCTTCTGGTCAGGCTTAAAAGAAGCTCTTTTCTCATTAAGAAGGTCCTCAAAAATAGCTTCAGCTTCCTTGTATTTGTCACCCTGTCAGCAACCACCAGCACAATTGTTATGGACAAATGTAGAGGAATTAAGGGAGATGCTATAATCATAACAAATAATTTTGTTTGTGTCTAAGATAAGTTGAAACGACCGTGGAGCAGTATTTAGGACAATGACCAGAATACAAGAGATAAATAATTTATAAAGGATTCAATGAGATGTCAGCAAAGAGGCACCAGGCACTATCGATGCTTGGAGTGTGCAACAGGATGGGATCAGAGCAACAAGTGACTTTTGCAGAAAATGACATTTATGGTCGAGACACTATAGCATATCACAAATCTATCTGATTTTGAGCATGTACACATGAGATCTCTACAGGATTGGTGATCATTTGATTGGAGCATGTACAGATGAATTCTCTACAGGATTGGTGCATGTACACCATATAAAATTCAGAGCTCTTACGCCCACACCAAGGACACATGAGACAAGGCAAGCATGCAAGTAAATCCGTAAATGCCAACTATACTATGCACAGGAAGTCTGAAACACAACATTATTGTGAAAAAGCTTCAGTGAGTGTGTTTATTTATATGGTGTGCCACCTTGGGGGGGGGGGGAATCATATTATGCCCCCCAACCAAGTAACCAACCACCTGCTGCCAGGTACTCCTTGAGGTTACACCAAAAAGAGTTCACAAAATTGTAAACATTTATCAAACAAAAATGTTAAAGTTTCATGTCTTATGATAAATCATAGTAGACTGACTTGTTAACATTCAATCTGACAAAAGATTAATGATTATATATGGTCCTACATTCTCATGTGTTTCACTGGCTAAATCACAAGACTTTAGATTGGATGGCAAGGTAGATTAAATGCTCACCTCAACAAAAGATTTCAAAATGATTTGATATGTCACAGCTGATGGCTCAGGGCCTGATGTTTGCATCCTGCGAAACACTGCTTCAGCCTTACGATACTGCTTGGCTCTTCCATATGCTTCCATCAGTGCAGTCTGAGATATCACGCTTGGTTTGTAACCTTTCTTGTTCATATACTTCAGGACCCTCTCCGCTCTGCTAAAATCTCCTAATTTTCCATAGGCCGTAACAAGCATCAAAAAGTCCATCTCACTGAAGTTCCACCAATGTTGTGTGCGTAGCCATTCAAGAATCTGAAAAATGAGGCATAGAAATTCAAATATTTATGAACTCTTCAAATCACATTCTATTGTAGATGAAACAATAGCAGCTAGCTAGTTAGTCAACAGGACGGCTTCATATTGGATAATATGCTGCAAGAGAATATACCTCGCTGACCAGGTTCCATTTCTTGAGCTGTTTGAACCGCATAAGAGTTCCAAGAACAGCATCCCTTGGCAGTGGTTCTTTCTTGCTTCGCTGAGTCTTCAGAATGGAGACAGCTGATCCTGACTCTTCTATCTCCCTCATCATCATCCTCCAATTCTTCTGCTCTGCTTCATCAGCAGCATCCTTATATACCTCCTCTTTCTTCTTCTTCTGCATGAACTTTCTGGTTGTCAACATTCCATGGCAAACCACCTCAAGCCTTCGACTGCTCTTGATCTTCACATTGTGAAGAGCTAAACCACAGGATACTTTTGCATTGCTGACAGCATAAAAGATATTTCAAACGGAGTCATACAAGGAAACAGTCATCAAGTGAGAAAACGAAATGAAAAGAAAAGGCAACACAACAAAAGTCATACTATCACATAGACAACTATAGACAAGTGGACTACAACAAATTTACTGATGTTGAGCAAGTAAGAAATGATGTAAATCTATCGAATTACTTGTACAATAACAGGCTATCTCTCGTGCTCAATAACCAAAGGTTATGCTTTCCCCTTATTCTTTACCCCAATTCACATGATACCGTCACATGTCGTGATCACTAACTGCCACCATGCCAAAACAGGCTTGAAGAAACCGAAGCTTACCGGCTTCCTCAAATCAAATGACATATTGGAGCAATGGAGCATATTGAACCCAAAGACTTACAACCTAGCGATAACAACCCTGAATGGACATCACATAACCACACACACTCTCCACGATGCCCACAGAAAAATCCCCAGGGACCTTATCCACCAAACCCTCTTCCGAAATTGCCGCAAACCACAGCACAAAAACCTCATTACCCATAAATTCGAGCTCCCAAACCCACCAAAGCCCCACCTCCAACCCCCTAATTCAACACGAGTCGCCGCGCCGCCGCGCCGCCGCGCGAGCCTAGTGGGAGCTACTGCGAGAGGAGGAGGAGGGCGCGCGCGCGCTTACCAGAGGCTGGAGGAGAAGGAGAGCGGGGACCGCGCCCCTCCAATCGCCGCCGCCGCCTCCATCGCCGGAGAAGGCGACGCGGCGGAAGCAGCAGCAGCAGCAGCAATGGCGGCAGCCTTATCGGTTACAGAGTGATGAGACAGCGAGCCCCTCCCTCCCCTTCTCTCTCCCCGTCTTAAACCCCACGAGGATTAGGATCTTTTCGGAGATGCATCGGGGCCCACCTGTCAGCCACACACAGAATGGGCCCCACATGGGCCCCACACGTGCAGGCCGAACTAGCCCAAGATTGGTTATTTCATGGGTCACGGCCCAAGCTTCCAAATACTAGTACTCCTCAGGACGCTGTCCCTCTCGGATTCGAGCCACGTGTGGGCACGAATCTAAAAGCAACGGTATAAAAGAGCGGCGCCGGCGAAGCCGTAGACCGGCGGCGAGCAACGACGGCGGGCGGCGAGGGGGCTCGCGCGGGAGGGTTATCCGTGCGCCATTGCTGTTTCTTCGTACCCTGTTTGATCGCCTGAGCAAGCCCAAGCCAAAACCCTACTCTAGCTATCTTCCGTTCCGCCGTGATGGCCGGCGATGCCGATTCCGGTGGCCTCCCGGGGTGAGATCAACCGGCGCTCTCGATCGATCCCTACTAACCCTAGCTGTTGCTTTTGCTTGTGCATTGGATTTATTGGAGTGATTTGCTGGTCTGCAGGGGCGAGGCGGCGGAGGAGATGGGGATGGGCGGCGAGGAGGAGAGGGTTGCGACGCTGCTAGGGATCGCGGAGGAGTGCGACACGGAGGAGGAGCTCCGGCTGCTGCTGCGGGGGAATCCCCACCCCGTCTGCTACGACAGCTTCCTGCCCTGCGACCGCATGACCATTGCCCAGGTGAGTGTGCTTGCTTGCTTAATTGCGTGTTCAATCTCCCGGGTGGTTGCTTCCTGTTGGATCGATTGCATTTTCAATTTGGAGAATTTTGTGGCGGATGGAGCTGTTTGCTGATTTTATTTTTATTTTTTTATACATGCTGGAAGGGTGAATTTTGTTTTGTTTTTTTTTACTAATTACTCCTAAATTTTTGGCTGTGCATCTTATTGTTATCACCTATTCACCTATTCACCTGGCAGGGTGTTTTGAAAGCAATACATGTGAGAAAAATGGTAGAAGCTGGATGCAGAGTAAAAATCTGGATAGATGATTGGTCTGCCTTCCTGAACAACAAGCTGGGAGGTGACATGGAAAAAATCCAGACTGTTGGCCGCTACATGATAGAGGTCTGGAAATCCATTGGTATGAACCATGATGGGGTAGAATTTCTTTGTTCATCGGCTGAGATCAATAGTCGGGCAGATGAATATTGGCCACGTGTCATGGGTATTAGCACACACCGCAAGATTGGAGTTGTGAGGTATTTTCTCATTTTTGCAGTTTTAAGAATAGCAATAATTACATGGCATTTATCTGCTAGAAAATCTTGGAACTGACAATAGCTTAGGCGATCGTCTGTGTTCCTATTATTTTACAAAATGCAAGTCAGTTTGTATTCTTACTTATTGTGTGCATATGTTTCAAATTATGGGTCAAAGGGAGCTCAGGGAATGCAAAAAGCCTACTGCCCAGTTCTTCAACCCTTGCATGCAGTGTGCTGGCATATTCTTCCTAGAGGTAAGAATCTTCAATGGTTCATTCGTTTGGGAATTCATGGACACTAATACCCATGTTGGTCTTGTGCAGTTCTTTTAGTAAGAGGATCTAAGCAAATCTGTTATATATATATATCAAGTCATTTCAAAGGATTATATACGACCAAAGAAAATCCAGATAAACAAGTATAAGAATGCATACCACTGTTAAATTCTTTTTTCCATATAAGAGATTCCCAGGTTCTATTATAGAAGATGGAAAATTAACGGTTAAACCATTGTTTAACATACCACTGTTAATTAAATCAGTTTGTGGGAAGTCATGGACAAGCAGAGTGATGTCTCTTGCTAATGTTGATAAGATGTTTCTAGGCCATATAGTACTTGCAGATATGTATTTAGTTATGATATTTCCAGATTAAATTTGATTTGTCTGCACTGAATATTACAACATATTCTTTTTAGTAATAGGATTTTTCCCAACAGTTCTGTTTAGGTTAAACCCACATGCAGTCTATATAATTATGATTCTGGTTGAATGTTTCCTTTTCTAGGCAGACATTTGTCAGATGGGCATGGATCAGCATGAGGTCAACAAGCTAGCAACAACGTATTCTGATAACAGACAGGAAAAGAAGCCAATTATTCTGTCACACTGTATCCTTATTTTGTCCTGTTTTTATTTAGTTTTTTGAATTTGCCAAAATGAGTATTTGTGTATTACCTACACATTTACCTTCCATTTACCAAGTTATAAGGCATCAACAACTACAAGGGCACCATGGAACATAATACTCACACCAACAAGAGCTACAGCATAATTCTCACAGATTCATGGAGATTTGGTCATGATGTTTTTATTTTTCTTTTCTTAACGAATCATAGACTTGCTCCCTGGCTTGAAAGGGCAGAACAAGATGTCTGCTAGTGATCCAGCATCAGCCATCTTCATGGATGATGAGAAGGTTTTAATCCTGCCATTACCAAGTAGTCTTTTTTTATATGTGTATAGTGCTATTTCCACTTTATGCAGATGTTCCTCTCTTCAGTCTCTTGGAGTCCTCAAAATACACAAAAACAAAACAAAGGTCTTATTTTGCAGTGTCAGTCCTGATATATATTTAGTAGTACCTGTAAAGCCATTGTCCCCAAATTATATGCAAACAAAACATACTACATCGATATGATCATGCAATGGGATTTTGTATATTTGTCCTGTCAAACTAAAGTAAAATTTTGAAGGCTTTTATGCAACAAAGAATGTCCAAGATTAGGGGGTGGATGATGAAATGCAGTCGACTGTGGACATTATTTATATAGGAACTCACTCTGTCCAATTTTACAATGTATGCATGTATTTAAAAATTTCAAACTTTGTATGTCTTAACCAATTAGTAAAGTACCAATACAATATTTCAAAGTGCTTTTACATGGTTTTCTATCTTGACAAATATGTTGTATGAGAAATTAATGGCCAGAGTCTAATTTTGATGAAAGTGCCAAATCAAAACACACCACATATTTTTCCATTCAGATCTTGAAGATCTTAATTCTTCAACAAAAGAAAAATATTATGATAATATTGACAGCTTTGTGTTTACTTTGTCTTTCGCTGGTTGAGTTGAGTCTACTTGTAGGCATGGAACGATTAATTTCACTATTATTAAGTCTTTACAAACAAGCTTGCAATTAATATTATTTACTTACCATTCTAATGGGCTGATGCTGCATGCGCTACAAGAATGTTCTGCTTACTAGTAAGCTTCTGCATATGCTGTTTTGCTGTATAGTTCAGTTCCTGTTTTCTTTGATGTTTCTGTCACTATATAGCACGGTCCATTCATCCTTCTGTTAAACTTGGCTGTGTACATCCGATTGGATGTAGAGGCCAGGTTTATCCCATTTTCTAAAAAAAAATCCTTCTGTTAAACTGACATTAATTCATTGTCAACAAAAATATGCTGCTTATTAACAGACTTTAATGTGTTGCAGGCTGAGATAGATTTAAAGATAAAACAGGCTTTCTGCCCTCCAAAGATTGTCAAGGGAAATCCATGTATTGAGTACATAAAATACATCATTTTTCCTTGGTTTGGCAAATTTGAGGTGGTCCGGAAGGCTAAAAATGGTGGAAACAAGTAATAATCCTTTTAAAAAAACTCTACTGTCGTTCAGGGGAAAAAAGTCTATTAAACGTTTGTTATTTAATAATAGTGTATAATTTGTAAATGTGTAACACTTTCTATTTTACAGGACATTTATGAGCGTGGAAGAACTAGTCATGGACTATGAGAGTGGTTCCTTGCATCCTGCTGATGTAAAGCCTGCTCTGAAAGAAGCAATAAACCAAATATTGAAAGTAATGTTTCTTTTCCATCCCCTGTGAACTACATCTGGCTCTACCCAAGCTTTGTTGGTTGGGTGTTTTTTGTCTGTATGGTAGGCAATGTGGTTTTCCATTAGACATCCATGCTGTGTTTAAGGATAGCATCCATGATGTGTTTAATGATAACTTCAAAAGTGTCTCAGTCCGTTTGACCACTTGTCCAGTTGCTTATGTTTTACCTCACCTTACCAATTTCTCATAATTTCAGCCTGTCCGTGAGCACTTTGAAAACAACAAGGAAGCCAAATTCTTGCGTGATACAGTTAAGGTAATATCTTGTCCACTCTATTTGACATTAAATCAGAATCACACTTAATCATGAATAGCTACATGTTGGTCAGAACTCGGAACTCTTAGTTACAATTTTACTGTGATCTAGTTGGAAAGAGATAAGTCGCATTTATAACTGCCTAGATTCTGTTATTTTTTCTTGAAAGATTCTATTATATGCCATTGACGAAGTTGAATTCTACAATGTGCTATTGATTAATCCGTTTTCTTCATTATATGCCATCTCCATAGTGAACTCCTGATTCCATTTTTTTCATAATGCCTACAATAGCCTTGTTTTATTTTGGAAACAATAAGAGAATTGTTGGCTGATAGTATCAGAAAATATATTGTGTGCTAGTGGCAAAGTTGACCCTTTCCTTATTTAACTGATGTCGACTAACTGTTGACCAACGGCGATGACATATAAGTAAGGAAATGAGTTAATTGATGGCATACTGTAGAGCTTGAATTCAACAGTGGCATGTCGTAAAAATTTTGCTTTGTCGATGGTACGGACTATATATAATGTACTTTCTCTTCTTTGTACTGGCTGTCACTTTTGTAAGGTCTAGCTTTGGCTGAGACCCAGTTGCCTTCCCTGTAACCCTATCCTCTAATATCTCTTTGAATTTCGGAAAATTCCTCCTTCCATCTTGATGTCACATGCTTGTCTTGGTGCACCTTTGTGATTAGGGAAGTGGTTCCAGATTTACAGATTTATTTGGCATGGCACTAGTAGAGTACTAGTTAGTCCTGAGCTAGAGTGCATCTGTTTAGATGATGACAGTATGGTAGTGTACTATATCCCTGGTCAAATCTGCTAAAAAAATCATACAAGAAAACAGGGAAATGTATTAGTTAACTAATTGACTTGAACTGCAATTTTATGTCTGTTGGTCTTAAGTTCATCTGTTATTTGCCAATACTAAACTGCGAGTTAAAATCACGGAAATAATTATCCTTGCAGGGCTACAGCGAGGTCAATAGTGAATAAGGTCTTCCGAAAAAGGAAGATAGTGAAGAGGAAGCTAAATGCTAAATTATAGACGTGTCTCACGTTGGAGGCTAGCCAAAATCCGATTGAGCAGGCAAAGGACACCTAAACTGTTGGGCTGACTTAGCAGATTGGCACATTTTTAGTAGGAAGTTAAAAGAGTTGTATATACTCGACCAACAATTGTACAAAGGCCTTGCTTAAATACACTCCTCTTTTAGAAAACTTTACTGATTTCAATGCAAAGCAGCTAATTTTAGGTGAGAGAAATGTGTAATATGATAAACACAAACTGAAGATTAGATCTTGACATAGTCATATTATATAGTTATAGATATAGATGTAGATAAAGATTTTAATATTAGATAGGGAGCAGAATACCAATACTTTGCTCTATGATTGAAGTGTCGTGATTGCACTTGTGAAGCACATTTCTAGGCTCTAGGACAGTATGAGATTTGTGGAGATGAGAAATATGGATGTCAGCTTCAGGCAGAGATGCTCACAACTCATACCTGTACTGTGACTTTTTGAGTTTGTGGTTGTTTCTAAACTTTACTAGCTTTGCCTGTGACAGTTCACACGTACTACCTCCGTCCCATGTTACTTGTCGCTTTGATTGTCGCTTTGAGTTTTTATTTGTAATTTTTGATCATTCGTCTTATTCAAAAAATTTTGAAATTATTATTTGTTTTGTTTGTGATTTGCTTTATTATCAAAAGTATTTTAAGTACAACTTATTCTTTTTTATATTTGCACTAATTTTTCAAATAAAACGAATGGTCAAGCATTACAAGAAAAAAATCAAAGCGACATCTATTATGGGACGGAGGGAGTACACTCTGCAGGTGAGAAGCTCATCCGCTACTCTGACACTGTGAGAGTGACACCTGTACTATTCAGTACGCCTCTATTCATAAAAAAAAAAAATCCTAGCTACGAATTAGACATATACGTGTCCAGATTCGTAGCTAGGATTTATTATTTTTTTAAAAAAGAGTAATAATTGATTAAGGTCTCAATCATAATTGATGCTTTCTGTAAGCTTCTGTGCGTCTCAGAATCAGCAGTAGGCGAGTTTTTTGGTTTAAATATCTGCACGTTCAACACGTGGAGAACTCTGGTGCAACCATACGGTGGAGTAAAGAAAACAGAGAGAGAGAGACTTCAACATGAAATGTGGGGACCTTACATGATTTTTGTAGAAACTAATTCAGGCTCTAATGAGATTCCCATTAACTCCTAAACTTCTTTGGAGGTAGAAACAAAGTTAGGAGCATATCAAGTTTATAGGTGTAGTGATAAGGTTCCTTATCTGTGCCGAACGACGACATATGCAGCTGTGTCTTGTAGCATCAAATGATCACCGCTTCCATTTTGCCCAGCGACGACATATGCTGTTGCGTCTTGTAGCATCAATGAACACCGCATCGGGTTGATATGGATGCTTGCTTTTATTTTGATTTTCAATGTATAACATAACCCCTCCGTCCTAAAATATAACAACTTTTACCTATGAATTTGCACACACAGTTATCGTCCAGATTCATAGCTAAAAATGCTTATATTTTAGGACGGATGTAGTAGTTAACTTTTAAACATATATTATAACTATCAGTTTTGTTAAAAAATTCTATAAATACAAAAGAAGCATGCTTAAGTAAATAAACAAAAAAAACCATATTTATATACTCTTTCCGTCCCAAAATATAAGCATTTTTGAACTCTGACGTAGTCTTCCAAATGCTACTTTGACCAACAATAATATAAGTAAGAAGTTTTAAATAAAAAGAGTTGCATATTATGATGGTATGTTTAATGATAAATCTAGTAACATCAGTTTTATATGATTGATTTTTTTTTTATTTTTGTGCTATTAATAGTCAAAATTAAAAATATTTGACTTATCAGTATGCTAAAATGCTTATATTTTAAAATGGAGGAAGTAATTATTTTGACAAAAATAAATATATATTAAAAAGTTAACGGCGACATAAAAATCCAAAAGAATATATCGAGTTTCGTTTACATTTAAGCAATGTTCAATGTGATAATATCCCGATATTTTTTTTTGTTGGTTTGTGGTGTTCTGGAGCATTCTTTGAAAAGAAAAAGGTAAAAAGTATTTTAAAGAAAAGAAAAGAAAAGAAAAGAAAAAAGAGAGAGAAAAAAGAGACCTCAGCTGCTCAGCCCCAGTACTTGAGCCTCTCTTCCTTCCCCTTCCTCTTCCCATCGCGATACCTCCTCCTTCCCGTCGAACCCTCTCCAGTCTCCACTCCACTGAATCCTCCCACCTCGGCTCGAAGGTACTCTTCCCATCTATCCGTAATCAGTGGCTTCAATTATCCAGTGTTCTTCTGTTGTTGGTGATGTTGTTGGTGAATTCCAACTTTCTTGGATTACTTTGACAACTTTGTTCAGGTCTTCTTTACTCTGTGTGTTGGGGGGATGGGATGGTGAGATCATTCTTTCTCTCCAGTCCATCCAATTTGGTGCGGATTTGATTGGGGATTAGTCGTTTATTTACGAAAAATTTTGTTTGGGGGGGGGGGGGGTGGTTCGACGGAACCCGCATGCCGCTCAAAGGTGGGGATCTTTTTGTGTTAATTTTACCGGAGGTCTTGGGCTTCGGTAGAGGTTCTGTCAGGCCTCGGGGGTAATGGGTAATGACCCCGAAATGGAACTCAAAACTAAGAACGGATTGGGGAGATTTGGGAGAATTACGTTGTGTGCTAGTTTGGAGTTAGCATGTAAAACTTCCAGATCTTGAACCTGCGTGTCTTCGTTCAGAAAAGGGTCCAAGAACTCCAGATAAGAGAGAAAAGGGTACAGAGAAATTACAGTAGAACACCATGGTGGATGAAAAAGAAAATTAGGGAGAAATCGACTAGGAATAAAGAGTCCTCATAAGCTGCGGCTAAAGGATTTTCTTCCTGGGGATATGAAACTTTCATCTTATCTTACAACTGCCGTTTCATGGAATATTTTGTTTTGTTTTTTTTTTTGGTTTTGAAATGATAGCTTTGAGGCATCCTTTTTTGCTTTCGACCAGAGTTCTGTCCAAGTGATTTACTGTCATTGTATGGACGCTGAGATTATTCTTAGTCCTTTGATTTTATTATAATTAGCTTGTTTATTCTTCTTATCAAATTTACACTCTCTCACTTTAGGAATGGCAAGCGGTAGTGAAGCTGAGAAGTCACCTGAGGTTGTGCTGGAGTGGCCTAAGAAGGACAAGAAGAGGCTTCTACATGCTGTTTACCGTGTTGGAGATTTGGATCGCACCATTAAGTATGGTTTTGTGCTAGAAGTAATATTTCCCACACCTAGTATATGTCTGTTAATATGATGTGATTGTGGCAGATGTTACACAGAATGCTTTGGAATGAAATTACTGAGGAAAAGAGATGTGCCTGAAGAGAAATATACGAATGCATTTCTTGGGTTTGGACCTGAGGACACCAACTTTGCACTTGAATTGACATACAGTATGTTATTGATCCTCTGATATTTTGCTTCTTCATAGATGATTAGATATTGTAGTTAATGTTTTTTAAAGTATGTGTTAACCTAACAAAACAACTGGAGAATTGTTCTGTTTTTCTTCTCTCTTAACTCAAACAAGTCAGCTCTTGTTTTTATTTTGAGTGTACTGTCACCCATTTCTACACTCTAATGTGCCTATATGTTTTTTGTTTTTTGATAGATTATGGTGTTGATAAGTACGACATTGGAGCAGGATTTGGGCATTTCGCTATTGCAACTGAGGACGTATGTATTGTTTATGTATTCATGATTATGTTAACATGAATACATGATATCATGCTGCAAATATATGTTGTTCTCATGATTATCTTAACATGATATCGGATGCAAATATAGGTGTACAAATTGGCTGAGAAAATTAAATCCAGTTGTTGCTGCAAGATCACTCGTGAACCTGGTCCTGTCAAGGGAGGATCCACTGTGATTGCCTTTGCACAGGATCCTGACGGTTACATGTTTGAGCTTATCCAGAGGGGTCCAACACCTGAGCCTCTTTGCCAAGTTATGCTTCGTGTGGGTGACCTTGATCGCTCCATCAAGTTCTACGAGAAGGTATTCTCATTCGTTGCATAACTATAGGCTATTCCAAGAGTTAGAAATGCTAAAGTATCTCTTTTATATATTCTCTAATCTCTACAATAGTGGGCTCATATGTGTACTGGCGTTGTTTATGCTTAATGAAGGCCCTTGGTATGAAGCTGCTGAGGAAGAAGGATGTACCTGACTATAAGGTACCTCTATTTATCTTGAAAAAGATGCAATAATTCTGTTATTATGCCTGAAAGTTCTGAGGCCCATGCCTTGCTATTGTTTCTTAGACATATTTTATCCTATGAACTTCCATAGACTGAATAACTTTTGGCATGCACAGTATACCATTGCCATGTTGGGCTATGCTGATGAGGATAAGACAACTGTTATTGAGTTGACATACAACTATGGTGTCACAGAATATACCAAGGGCAACGCATATGCTCAGGTTTTTGGACAATCCTTCTTTTCTTCAGAGATTTCCTAAGAGATGTTGGCATTTCTTGATGATCTCTGATGCAAGTGCAGGTTGCTATTGGCACTGAAGATGTCTACAAGAGTGCTGAGGCTGTTGAGTTGGTTACAAAAGAACTAGGGGGAAAGATTTTGCGGCAGCCAGGTCCACTACCAGGGCTCAACACAAAGATTGCCTCTTTCCTTGACCCTGATGGCTGGAAAGTGGTATGGCTCCTGTCTTCGTGTTCCACTGTATTTTACTACTGTTAACCATCGAATGATCGGTACATCAATTATATTTAAGCCTAGAGCATTTGGCAGTTCTTGTTTAAGAAAGCCTGGTCAAAAAGGAAAGCAAACCATTTGCTTACACACAACATAGTAATTTTTAGTGCAGGCACAAAACTAAAACATAGTCACAAAGGACCAAAGTACAAGGGCTAGTGTTTAGGCATTACTGTTTACCAGTTAGGTCCATTCTTCTCGGCTAATCCGCCAGATTATCACCGCAGATTATTTGCACCATGCTTCCAAAAATTCTCTTCACCAGCATTGATTGATTAACCTTTTTCAATCTATTTGTTAGGTTTATAATGTATATAATATTTAATTATTCTCATAAACAAGCATATCATCCGCATTTCATCTAAAAGAACAGTACCTAAGTTTATAGTTCTGAACTCTACTGTTGATAAGGTTGGTACTTGGCACTTGTGAAGCAAGACATTTACTTGTGAAAAAGAAATCCCGCTTCTATGGCCATATGTATTTTCATTGTATGTTTGCTGATAATGAGTCTGCCATAATCTGCAAAGCAGAGGATAGGGGGCATCTTTGATACAATATACTAGAAAGTTTTCTTCTGGATGGATTTAAAAGGATAGAGTAAGATAAAAATAGGACACATGGCGAAGCACTGATACTGATGTTTATTGTAACACTAAAAAAATCGAGTACATTTGCAATCATTCATATAACTGTCAGATCTTCTTAGAGCATAGTTTTTCAAAGGCAGTAGCA